CCACAGACGGATGGGCTACGGGACCCACCAGCGCCCACCTGAGCGATGACCGAGTTCTTGTACTCCCGGAGCTTCCTGGCCTCGGCCTTCTCCGTGTTGCTCAGCAGCTGGGGGCTGGGGGCCTTCTCCTGAGCCCGGGCCTCGATAAACCGGGTCGTCAGGGACCACAGGCGCTGCTGCCACCTCAGCACCCCGGGGAGCGCGTCGGCTGAGTGGAGGGTGGTGAGGGAGGGACAGAAATGAGAACGAATGAATGATTTGGTTGTGACCAGGCTGAGGACAGCCCGTGAACGACTTCATCCCCGGGAGGGCCTCGCTTGCTGACCCCGCTGTATTCTCAGAGTGTGCCGGGAGCCACAGTGGACTAACGCCATGTGGGGCCTATTTACAGACACAGGTATCACCTGGTGGGCCAGGGAGCACCTGTGTCTGCATCCGCACACCCCAGGACTCAGCCCCCCAACTGGCTTTCACCTTGATCTTCAATGGCGCCAACTGGTAAGCCATCTGCCAAGAGAGCCAGCAGTTCTGACCCACCCGTGGGCTCAGCGGAAGCAAGACCTGGTGACTTGCTCCGGTGTGGGTCACACACAGGGCCTCGAGAAAGGGAAATCAATGGGACAGCTCCCGACAGACAGCAGTGACTGGGCGCCCGCCCTTATTGCCTGGACATGTAAGAGGACCCTCTGGAGGCCTGGGACAGAGTGACTCCTGGCACTGGCCCTCGGTCAAGTGGGGGAGCCAGTGCCCATGCCCGTTTTTTCATAAGCACCCCAGGGACTCACACCTTGACTGTGATTCCAACCCATGGGGGGGGACCACAGGAAGGGGACGTGGGTGTCTCTGGTTTATTCCGGAATATCCCGATAGTCAAACCTATCTAACCTTACTTCATTTTAGATCTGAGCATCTTGGGAGAGATGGATCTCCCCTGACAGGCTCTAGAGGCTGCTTGGGGGCTGGGGGGGAGCAGGGGTGACTAAAGAGGCCCGCACTCACGGGAGCCTCCTAGATTGGGCACAGAGGATGCCACTGCTATGGGGCAGGGCTCAGCTAGCTGCAGCTCTCGGCCATAGGGCTCTGCCGTGGAATTGAAAATAAAAGTATCACGGTTTCATTTATAAAAATTGTAAAGGGTATTTATTATTCAGATCCTGGTGGTTTCATTGGTTTGGAAAATATATATTCAGGGTTCTCAACTGACTTGTACATTGTTGTGAGGGGCACGATTGGCTCTTCTGTCTCAAAAGTTTGCCGACACCTGTTTCTGGGGGAAACAAACCCCAAAACAACACCAACCACACAACCTTTTGAGGCAGGGCAGGAGGGGGCGGAGCTCTCTGGAGCAGGGCAGGAAGGGGCAGAGCTCTCTGGAGCAGGGCAGGAGGGGCGGAGCTCTGTGGACCAGGGCAGGAGGGGGCGGAGCTCTGTGGACCAGGGCAGGAGGGGCAGAGCTCTCTGGACCAGGGCAGGCCGAGGAGCAGAAAGGCAGCCCCTGTGTACATGGCTCAGCTCTAGGCCCCTGGTCCCTGTAACCTGCATCAGAACCACCAGGGCCCTTGTTCAAAAGTCGAGTCCTGGTGAGGGCTGGGGGTCCGCTTTTCGCAGCAGGGGTCTTGACCCGGAGAACAAGGGTCTAAGAATAGTGTGGCCGGTCAGCAAATGGTGACATGCTTCATAGGACCCAGTCCTTGAAGTCGCTACCACTGCCTTCAGCAGAGACATTTCCTTCCCCAATTCCTTCTGAGCCCACGGTCCCAAGCCTCCGGGTGACAGCGGAAGCAGGCAGGGGTGGGGGTGAGGGTGGGCCGGGAGGCGACTTACTCTTCACGTCCCACAGGATGTCCTTCTCGGGAGGGGCGGCGAACAGGGTGTAGAGGCGGGCTGTGTCGATTCCATACTGCTCCACCACGTCCTCGGGGTCCACCCCGTTGTGCTTGGACTTGCTCATCTTCTCCCACGTCACCTCCAGCGCCGCCCCGGTCGCCGCGTGCACAGGAACAGGACCTGGACACACAAGTGCGGCAGGCGGGATCCTGAATTCGGGGCATTTGGTAAGGGCGCAGTGCGCTGGGAGGGCAATTGAAAGTGTCCGCTGGCAGAATCCCACTGAAGCACATGGCTTGCCTGCTCTCCTTCCTCTAGGCCACAGTGTGCGCTTATTCATTTCCAGGGATCTTGTTCTTGTGGGAGAGGCCCCTGGGAGAGTCAGAGGGGGCCCTGAACGTTCGGCAGACGGCAGGAGGGCAGAGGGAGCCAGCAGTCCTGGGAGGCGTACAAGTGGGAATCCTTCCCGAAGCTGCACTGACCAAGGAGCTGCAGGGGCCGGGGCAGCAGGGAAGGCAGCAGGTCTCCACACCAGCATTCGGAAGGGGCAGGTCCAGAGCAAGAGACCATGAGACCTCAGCGTCTCTTCCGAGATCCCCCAGGCAGCCCCGGCTGCACACCTGAGCCCGCTCCCTGGCTCTCTACAGGGACCTGGACAGGGGCACATGGGCCATTCATTCCTCGAGGCTCTCTTACCTGTGAGGTTGACGTCTTCTCGTTGCAGATACTGCCCAGAAGGGAGGCGGAAGGTCTGCCCCTTGATGAGGCCCTGGGCCAGCAGCTGACGGAACGGCTCCCTGGGGAAGAACACGGGAGAGGAGATGGGTCGGCTGTGGAGTCCCTCACTGCCACTGTGTCCAGTCCAACGCAAAGTGACCCCAGCGGGCAGGGCAGAAAAGACTGTCACTCTTCAAGGCAGCAGAGAGCCTCTCTTTCTCCTGAGGAGCCGCTGGCGGGTTCGAACCGCTGACTCTGAAGTTAGAGGCCATCTTCGCCTTCCACCTCATTAGAACTCCACTGTGTAAACAGGGGGGCAGGGAGGTAGCTCGGCGGTAGTGCTCCCGTTTCTGCATGGGAGGCGCAGGTTTGAGTCCCGGATGCTGCACCTGCGGCACAGCGGAGACTGCACAGTCTTGGCGGAGAGTCCAGGCTGGGGCAGAGCCAGAAGAAGGGCCAGGTGATTGACCTCAGGAAGCCTCAGCAAACAAGAGGCCAGGGAGTGGGGCGGAGACCTGCCAGCCATCCCGAGAGCAGCACAGGACGGGCAGCATGTCGCTCTGTCAGGCACGGGGCCCGCTGTACTTGGGGTGGGCTACACGGCCACTGGCGGCAACAACAACAAACACAGCAACAGTTTTCAGCTGACCAGAGAAAACCGCTGCATGGCTGCCTCTGACCGGGCAGCTGGGGGAAGCAACGGGGCACAAACACAAAGCAACCTGCTCCGGTGCCCCAGCAGGTTGAATGACGGTCACGGTGGAGATGGGAACCTTCCTGGGAGAACCTTATAGGAGCCTTCTGCCCAGGCAGCCAGGCTCCCGCCACTCTTTCTGAGCTCCCCTCCACTCAGCTCTCACTCAGAGCGGCTGACTTTGGCCACTGCTGAGAAGAATTACAGAGACGTCTTTGGATTGTGACGATGCAAAGGATTAGGATGGACAGCGATGAGCAATCACAGAGCGTGACCACCTAACGAACAAGCAACAGGAAACGGCCCAGGCTGGGGAAGGTATGGGGCCACCAGAACGCTCACCTACTGCGGGCGGGTCTGTCAATCGGCAGGAGCCTGATGGAAAGCCATTAGAACTCCTCCGACAGCTAGCTGCCAGGTACACGGGTGCACAGCCGGGAGAGGCCGGCGCCGCAGCACCAACGCTATATGTGCTCCGATGTTCACGGCAGCCAGAGGCCGGAAACGGCCCAAGTGCCCGCCAGTGGCAGAATGGATACAGACATGGGACCACGAAACCACGAAACGCCCCAAGACACGGATGGGCTCGGAGAACACTATGCGGAGTGAGGTTAGTCTGCCCAAGACACACATATTAGATGAGACCACTGCTGCAGGGTAAAAATCAGAACCACAGGGAGCAGACCCTGGAGGCCCCCAAGGGGAGGAGGAGGAAGCAAGGGCCTAGGTTGACAGGTTTGAACTTGGGTAGAAGGAGGACGGGGCCCAGGCGAGGGGGAAGAGAAACTGGGGATGGGGGCAGAATGGGGGTGGGGGTGCTGATGAGTGGTTCAGACTGTTAATAGTCTGAAATGTAAACCCCCAACCCCCTAATTCACAATAAAAAGAAATCCATTAAGACATAAACCAGAGTAGATTAGGATGATCAGCATTGGGAGGCAGCGGAGGGAGAAAGAGGGACCCTGTTCGGCTATCGCCACCTTGTGGGAGTGGGTGGAATTGCAGCCTGCTGGCTCGGCCCTCCCCACCCTCCAACCTCACCCTGTAAACCCTTTTTGTAAAAATTGTGGTACATAGATAAGAAAGGCTCCGAGATAGTCACGGAAGCAGGGGGATCAGGAGATAATGGAATTTCCCATGGAGCCCCTCATCGGTGATGGAACGTCTAGCTGCCTCCAAAAGCCTTCATAGGTCAGGGGAATTGTTACGTCCATGTGCTGCTCTACCAGCGCTCGTAGCCACCCCCAAATAAGCCCTTCACCCTTAAGAGGCTCAGTGTCCCCTACACATTGGGTCTCCTTTCCCTGGCCTTTAAGCAGCAGTTTAAAAATGAAGGGCAGCAAACACTAACTGTGTGACACGCACCTGCATACTGAGTCTAGAGCCCTGGGACAGAGGCTGACCCACGTCCTACAGCTGAAGAAGGGGGGGGGGGG